ACTAAGATACAAAATGAGATTGATTCACAAATTATAGATGTAAATAATTGTACTAGTAAGTAGTATCTGCAAATCATTGTTGAAGGTATCATGCGATAAGTAACATGTTTTTCTAATATTTAACTTCTATTTAATCACAGAAGGTGAAGATTTTAAAACATTGGAAAATATTCTATCCCAGTTACATAGTCTTTTACGACCTCTAGATGTACTTCATTGCAATAATATAATTCTTCCTGATACACCTGAAGAATGGAAAGAAACAAGCAAACTCTTAAAATCATGTTCAGAGACATTAAAGTCTATTATGGATTCGATTGGAACAAAAAAGGAATCATATAAAACTGTTAATAATGGTATTAACGAGTTTGTCAGTACTGCTAATGATATTGAAGATCACCAAAAAAGGTATAGAATTGCAAGTACTGTTTCTTAGTAATTATATAATATGTTATTATTTTATCGTTTTGTTTGCAGGCTAGAAAAGGAACTTCGCAATTTACAAATTCTTGTGTTAAAAACAGCATCCTTGTCTCTAATGCAAAGTCATAATTGATAGGCATCGAATCATGTGTAACATTGTAATATTAAGTGACTTGTTTAAAGTATTTTAATACCATTAACAATGAATTGCTCATCGTTATTTTTATGTAAAGATTAAATGTTTATGTTTGCTATTTGAAAAAAAATAATCATCAAGTATCGTGGTTGTATGTTTACAAATCCTTTAAGTTTGAACAAATTAGTGACTATGAGTCATAGTCTATGACCATAGACGAGGTCAGCTGTGCCTACACTTTGTCCGCGGTTGTGTACGTTTTAACGTAGAATGGCTCGCATACGAACTAGAAAGCACCTAATACGCCATCTGATGGAATCCTAGATAACCATTTAAGTTGAAAACATCAGTATAAATTGCAGCATTACAGTGCTCATATTTATTGGATTATGTTTATACGTATTTCTTGATATCATTCCAGATTAAATGCAATTTGCCATTGCAAATATTCTATTTGTAGTATTCCGTGCTGTTCGTAAATGATTCTTTAAATGTTTTGCTGTTATTAAATATAATTTACATCTTTTTCCTGATATTTTGTTTGTTTATTTATGAAATTCTCTTGTGAAATATTTAAAATTTGAAATATATTATAATTATAAAGCAATTTTCATCGCATCTATACTCTGCGGGTAATATTGCACTTATCTGTGTTGCACTTCTTTATCGGTATATGGATAATTTTTTATTACTTTACCTTGATTATTCCAAGAATATATCGTATGGTTAACTAAAAGTACCCAATTGTACAAGCAATATATTATTTTGAACAGATTCTTACAAACATAACGCATAGATATGTTATTATAATCTTTTTATGAAAAATAAAGTAAAAGTATTTTAATTGAACAATTTATATATTAAAATGAACATAATAATTCATAGGGGAATATATAAAGTATACTGTTTTTCAAGTACTTTAAACCATAAATTTAAAGATACATATTTTTATGTGTCTCTTAAGTCGTTTTGTAGATATAGTCGTATGTGGGCGCCATGATAGTCAATATTTGGAACGCACAGTGAGTATACCCACCTTGTATTGCTGTATACTTCATGGAATCACAGTGCCTGAGCAGTCGGGACAACAGGAAATATGGCGGCATTGCGCCGAGTACGAAGGTGAATTTGTATAAACCACGTTTGTTTGTGACGATCGTTCGATCAAGCGGAAAAGACAACATTGTAATGAGAGTGTGCAATGCTGTGTGATAACATGTGTAGTGTTTTGTGACGAAAATAACAGCCCATCGCGGCTGAATCGGATTTTTTGGCGTTGGATTGTCGTCACACGAGACGCATAATTGGCAGTGCCCTCGAGGTGGCAGGTACGCAATTCATAAAAACACCCTTAAAAACATTCAAATTTTATTCCAGAAGTCCTCTCTACGTTATTGACGAATAGGATCATTACGAAATTTCTCGTATTAATTGTAAACTGTGTTGTTGAGCAGTGCTTATATTATTATCTTATAACAGTGAATCGTTTACGACCTGAATCGGGTGTGTTCCCTGTTGTCATCAATAGGACATTGACTCTTAGGATGTTGCCCTCTTTCGACCTTCCCCTTTAACTGGCCAGGGTTAAAGTAAAATATAGTACAATTATTTTAATTTTTTGCTATAGTACATTAACGTGGATGTTACACGTAACTGTTTACGACATCTCATCGAATAGGATGATAAAATCAT